ATTATAATAATTATTATTATAATTATAATAATAATAATAATAATAATTATAATAATAATAATAATAATAATTATAATTATAATAATAATGAACGACAGAGTGAGAGAAGGAAGTGAAAGAGAGAGGGAGTGAGAGAGATATATTTTATAATGAAATTTGAAAACAGTTAAATTAATGAGTGAAAGAATGAACACACAGATCTATATCATCAATAGTGTCCTAATAATAATCTACGACTAAAATATCGAACGGTGCAAAGTTATCGTATAAAATGATATTTATACATGGTAAAATAGTCGGTCCAGAGCACTCGTAAAGTAATCAAAAAGATTATCCTTTGTTCTTAGGTCCGACTGCGATAAACAAATATTTAATAAAAAACAAAGAAAAAAAAAAAAAAAAAAAAAAAAAAAAAAAAAAAAAAAAAAAAAAAAAAAAAAATCAGAAAAACGCAAAATATAACGCTATTTTTCCTTTGCTCATGGAGCAGTTTATCGTTTAAAGAACATCTTTATCATTAATAGTCAGTCGATTTTAGAATTTCCTCTAGAGAAAAAGAGATATATGTATATATGTATATGTATAATATTTTTGCGTGCTCACATTTTCACGCTTTTTATCGTTCTATTTTAACCTACGCTTCTGTATGTACACACTTCACAATACCACTTTTTTTTAATCATTTCGATCTCTCCTCATTACTACCCTTCTCTACGACACTGTGTGTTCTTCCTTTGTGTGCGTCCGGTTTTTCACAAATACACCATTTTCCTCTGGATTACTTTACAAGTACCCTCTCATGCATGAGTCCTCTCAACGTAACTAAGTCTTATATCGTCGAAAAATATCATATCGAGAATACCTCTACTATACTATTACTTCTTACTTAGTGTTTTTTTTTTGTTTGTTTGTTTTGTTTTGCTTTGTTACCTTCAGCGAACAGGAATACTCAAAGTTTTTCCAGTTGAAATATCTCGTGGAGTACGGTTTAATATTGCGCGCGTGCGACTTAATTTTTCGTTTCACGTCTTAGACACGACATAAATAACTGTGCCTCGAACAATTTTTTATGAAAGTAAAATTTAAACGTAAATTTTGCAAGTTGGTACGCACCAACAAGGCATTATCGATTGATTAACGGGAATCGTCATATATCTTTTGAATTATCTTCCCTCGTCTTTTTAATTCCCTTTCGTGTCTTCTAACCTCACTTTTACGGCCAGAAGATACGAACACAATTGCACGACACAAAAACTGTATGTCCTTTCTTCGTTTCACCTTTGCCTTTGCATTTTTTTTTCTTTCTTTAAAATAGCGATTAAACGCACTCTGTGACAAATAAGATTAATTTTAGGTCTTGCTATTGCACCAATATTTACAATGGACGTTATACGTGTATCTTCTTTTAAAGCGATCTTTGATATCGATCAGCAATTGCTTGTATAAAAGCCACTTAAAATATCAACAACGTAATATGTATATACATAAAAAAAAGAAATAAAAAATTAAAAAAAAAAAAACAAAAAAGGAGGAAAGAAAGCTCGCGTATACGCTTAAACGAATTTTTTTTTCTAAAAAAATATCATCTATATAAGTGCAATATATAAATTCTATATTATACTGTTTTAAAAACAGAGCGAAAGGGAGGCAGAGAGAAAAGTAGAGATAGAAAGTGAGCGAAAGAAAAAAAGAAAATAGAATTGTACTGATTACATATCTTTCTTTACGCAATGAATTTTCCGCGTTTCAACGTTTTACGTTGTCGTAGAATCGAGGATTCCTAGCGAGGAAAAGATCGTCTCCGCGGATGAATCCTTTGAGACTGACAAATCACACCGATCGAAACAAAAGATAAAATTTCGACATCGTGCGATATGCTTTGAAAAATGATCGATGTACAATATATATCTAACGATTAATCTTGCGGCATAAATCGCATATGTAAAATGTTTTTAGCACTCAAAGGATTTAAGGCTCCCGTTGCAAAAGTGTATTTTCATATACCGCTGAAATATACGCTCGTGCAATATTTGTTTGAAACGACAACCGCACGAGAAACATATCTATTCTCGAAGGACTGTTACTCTGGGATCACTATACTGATGGGTCTACGGGTGAATAATATTGTCGCTCTTTACGTGCTACCATACAGACACATGCGGCAGAAAATAGTCTAGGCATTCTTTTCGCGATACACCCTACATCGTTATTCAAAAGGAACTTCGATTGAACTTTATTACACGTTTCTTTCTTTCTTTCTTTCTTTCTTTCTTTCTTTCTTTCATTCATTTCTTTTCTTCCTTTTTGTTTTTCCCTTTCTTCTTTGTTTGTTCCTTGTCACGAAGGCCAAACACGATCAATAATCGCTACCGACTTTGGATTAAGCGAACCAATTTTGAAGTAACGAAGAACCGTATCGCTAGGTACTAATTCTTAAGAAGGAATCGTTCTCTAGTTCGACGCACTCTGTTCGTTTTTTTCATTCGGAAAATATACGCGGCTGGGCGTTGCTTTTTTTCGTGCAACGATAGATAGAATCGATAGCCGGATCCCGGAGGAAGGCAGGATCACCGAACACAAATCCTCGCTTCGCAAGGTTATCGTCGACAAATATCGTCGGCCCGTTTAGATCCGTTATCACCCCTCGTTCATTCCAGTTTACTCGCAGCCCAGTTTTGCCCAACGTGGACGCAACTCCAACCTATGCCACGATGACGACGATCGTACACGCGAGATTGTCTAAAGCTACAATAAATGGCGTGGGTTGGCTTGTGTGTGTGTGTGTGTGGGGCGCCACAACGGAAAGGAAGGGCAAAACTGCAACGATGACGGACAAATAATTACATGGACAGCGCAACGCGTTTCACCATCTTCTATTTCAAATGAAAATTCGTAAGGAAGCGAGTAAACACGTTCGAATAGAATCTTCGAGGGCACAGATCGGATCTGTAGTTAGCGCTCGGTGCACGGGGATTTGCCGGTTGCAGATAAGGCCTGAATAGTTAGGGTTTGCTGTTGTCATTGTTCAACGACAACGGATCGGTGATCTTTTGCTGCTGCTGCTGCTGTTGCTGCTGCTGTTGTTGCGTCACCTCGCTCACAGCGCCACCACTCATCAGTTTCGCATTGTTGTTCTCCGTGTTCGAGACTTTCGCGTACTCCCGCTTGCGAGGCATGCTCTCCGTCTTTACGATCGTGATGTCTGGATTGTTCTCGAGTACAGATGTCGCTGGTTTCGGGACGGGCGTCGGCACCTCGATGTATCCGCCTCCTTCTCTCTTGATAGGTGTCGAGGTGGTCGGTGTCGCTGTAGTCGCCGCGTTCGCGTTGATCTTTTGCAAGATGTCGTTCACGGACTCGTTGTTCTCGGGCGTCTCGTTGTTGCCGTCGATCGCACCCGACGCAACGCTCAAGTCGCCGGCCAACGAAATTCTGTCCGGGCCTTGTAGCGTCGACAGATAAGTTGCCAACGTATGGACGGTCACATTAAGGAACTCGGCTGCACGGAACAACGTGATCTCCTTTCTTCGCAGCTTGGCTAACACTTCCGCTGGCCCCGGCTCTGACCAAAAGTCCCTCACTCTGTGAACAAATTCGTTACCTTTGTCAACGGTTGTTGTCGAAGTGGGAAGAAAAAGTTCGAATCGATTTCCGTACAGGGTACCGTAAATATGAAAGCAGGTTAATGCACGATTTCACTTAGCGCGCGTCTAAAATATTATCAATCCCAGGAAAAATTTCCGTTTCTCGGAAGCTTCATCGGTCTCGAAAAAAAGATGGAAACTCTCGAAAGTCAAAAGTTCAGTGCTTGTGTATTTTAAGCAAAACGGAAGGAAGGAGGAAGTTAGTAAGCAATAGTCGAAGCAAAGGTGATCAAATATCGACAAGTTAATGTTCCATTACCTATACGGGTGTTTAAGGCAACCATAACTGTCGCGATATCTGCCATAGAGGGTTCCGTAGGACACGCCAAGTATCTCGGCGGCAGTCTTCATTTCCAGTTCTTTGCTCTTAATGGCATCCATAACGCGTCGCGTGAACGGCTCCTCCCAGAACTCTTGGCGGCGTCCCGTCGTCAGGTAATCGTTCATCTTCACGACGTCTCGGAATTGCTCGGGGATCGATGGGTTCGTGGCGTTGGAATTCGAGGGAGTGGTAGGCGCTGCAGCAAAATCAAACCACGTTAAATTCTTCGCGCCTACCGAACAGCCGCACACCTCTGCATAGCTGTGTCTGTGTGTCGTGTATCTCATCCTCCGTTGTAACGCCTAATCACGACTACTTTGGTTCGATCGACCGTGTCACGTACCTTTCTTTTCCTGGTCGGACGCGTTGTCATCCTTGGACATGTACGATAGCTGCAAAGGTATAAAAAAAAATTGTTAAAAATGAAAATGTGAAACTATGTTAAAGATGTTAAAGATAGAATAAAAAAAAAAGGTATCCTTACCACCGGCAGTGGCGTTTCGTTATTTTCGTTCATCATCATTTCGTCGTCCCAACTCTCGTGGTCACCGCCTTCGCTCATCATTTCCTCCTGGGAAATCGAGGAGGTTTGAACAGGCGCGTCAAAGAAATCTCTCGGTGACTGTCGATTGCGATCGATGTTGCATCGAGAAGGATTAATGGCGAAAACAAAAAATTGAACAGTTGATAATAAAAAGTTGATCCTTGTCGTCGTTCGTGAGATTCATAATTTCATGATGGAATTATTATTAAATATATTATATGCGTGTATGTAAGTTTTGTAATATATTTAGATGAGTGTTATAAATAATGGCCGGTTACAGGAATTATTTACAATAAATTTTTTTTTTAACGAAATCAAAGTGCGCCACGGCTGTAATTTATAGCGTAGGATTAAACAAATAATAGATACACAAGCAATGATACAAAAATGTAAAATTTATCTGGCATTAATATATCGCATCTACTATATTCTTTCTGAATCAATATCAATTAATTACCTTTATTGACAAATATTCATAAATGTCGAAATCTTTTAAAACGATGTTTATCGAGTAAAATTACCATTAGAAACGATAGTTTGAAAATTCCTTGAAAAATAAGAAATATGAATAAAAGATATAAACACAGGTATTATCATTATTATTGTTATTATTATTAATCTAAACTAGATTTCTAGAACAAGTTAGTTATAAGTTATCACAATCAAAGAAGTTAGATAATTAAGAGAAATAGAGATGAAAAAGAGAAGAAGAAGAAGAAGAAGAAGAAGAAGAGAAATTGTCTTTGATCTCTCAATCGACAATCACTACTAGAGATATTATGATAAACGAAACATCTGAACCATACTTGACGTACATTTCCGGTGATACATGTGATTTTCGGTGTGAAGACATCATGAGACGAGGGTGGATCGTCCAGAGGCGGGCGCCCTCTGCGTCTCTGCTTTGGAGGTGGCGGTTCGTCAGCGTCTCCTTCCCTGAGGACCGTCTCGACACCTGGAGTCGCCGCCCCAGGACTGTGACCGCTATTTCCTAGATCATTTTGCGTCGAATCGCTACGCCAGCTTACCTCGGCCAAACCCTTGATGTGCAAATCCTCCGCGGTTTTCAACAGGGACGACAATCTCGTCTGAAACATCAACACACGACGACTTTAATCAATCTGGCAAACAAAACAAAGACGCGAAGAATTTCCTTCTTTCTCTTCGAATCTCTTTGTCGTTTAATCCCTTCGAGAATTGCGAAAATCGTCTTTTTCTTTGTTTTCGAGATTTTTTTTCCCTCGAATGTTATTTATTTAAGGTAATTCCGAGAAAGATGGACCACTTATCTTTTTAAGATCTCAGAGAAAATGTAAATAGGAATTAATATTCGTTACTCGTAGTTTAAAGTTTCTGGTCTAATGGATGTTGTCGATCGTGCTCAAAGAAATTGTGGAATTTGCTACGTGTAATTAAACAGAAAAATATTTATATTTCAATGCGTGCGCGAGAAAGATAAAAATAATGATCAAAATTGCGATCTTTTCGTTAATTGTCGAAGCAATATTAACGGCAAGAAAATATAATACGAGATAATTGCATAGTAAAAAGTTGTTTTCGCGTTACATTATTCTTCAAAGAATTAAATAAATCATGAATTGTCATATCCGCATTGAGTAAATTGTAGAATAGTAAAATGTACATAACCAGTTTTATAACATCATGCTTTATTGTATATTATATTACACAGGTTTCCTTTAAACAACTCATATCTTTTATAAAATTCCTTTTTCTTTACTCGTACTTCTGCTCGATAAAATGATCATACTTTTTAATGAATTTTATAATTTGAAACATTCGACAAACAAATATGGATTAAAAAAATAAAAAGATCAAGCATTAAAATATTTTTCATTTAATTTTTATGGTTTAGTTTATCGAGCGATATATAATGTCAAAGCCAATAGCCAAGGCAGAAAGAATTGTATCAGAATCGTACCAGAGACAATGAGGATCGAAATTCGCGTAGGAAGTGGAAAGTAGATTTTTTTTCCAAGCTGGGATACAGCTATATCCTCGATATCCTCCGACTAATCAAGGTAAGTAGCGAATTCCCTCTCGTTTCCGTCGACATTAGCCCGAGTGGTTTAACCATTCCTGGCAAGAGTTACCAAGGCAAGGAAGACGGCGGCAATATTTCTAACCGATCCGCTTTCAATATTTCCGCTATGGAACGGGCATAAATGGTATAATATACGGGGCGCGACGGGTTTCAACGTTTTTGGCACGAGCTCGAGTCGAGTCAGGCGATTCCTTGTTCCCCCCGAATGGAGCATTCGATTCCTCTTGTGTATACCATTACATAGCATGGATACTATTATACTATATCGATGGAAGAGCGAGAAGTCGATGCTGTAAGAAATTCGAGGCGGAGCTAAGTAAATCTAATTATTCTCTGGCAGTCCGTAGGAAAAAGCCGGAGGAAAAAGCGATCACACGGCGGAGAGGTAAAAATTAGTAATTCCATTAATCCTGCCCGCTTCAATTTGCGCGAGCATACTCGTAGCGACCGACGAATCTCTATTCGATTCGCCGGGATTCGAGTAATGAATCGGATCGTCGCTGTCCACGGAGAAAGATACAGGATAGACGGTATAAAAAGAGAAAAAAAAAAAAAAAAATTCGATATATCTGAACGCGTATCGGCGGTATAGGGTTCGATTACTATTTGCCAATTTTCACCGTAATAATAGCCGAACGACCGAGAGAATGCTAAATAATATGAGAACTTTCTACACAAACGATTCTCCGCGGCTTTCTATCAGCCACGAATGGAATTGGAAAAATGCTTATGTGGGTCAGCGTCTCCGGCAGCCAGCGTACCGGGAATAATGTGTATTTCAGAAACAAACGTCACCACCATCGTCGCTGTCTTCGATCTTTGTCTGTGGCTGTCTTTCGTGTTTCTAACTTCGTGTGCAAGAAAACGAATGAAAAAACAACGCGGCCTCCGACCTCGTTTAAATCCGATCGAGCTTGAAAAACTCTTAACCAAAGGCCACGATCGAACACATCGACGGATCTTCGGCCCGATACGCCGTGAACATATTTTCACCAGAGCCGGATTTTTCGCAGGCAAATCGTGGCCACCGCAGCGCCACCACGGAGAAAGCTCTCGTGAATCTAACTGCGCCGCTTGATCACGACTAGAAACACGGAAGAATCGAGAGAGAACCCGTTGCTTGCTCTCGGGATTCTCTTCACAACCTGAATACGATTCTTGCACGTTTAAACGACACACGTTCGACTTCATATATTTCGTGAGTCATCCGAAACGGTACACCACGACATCTCTCAGGCTTCGTATGATATTCCTTGCTTTCGTAGGGACGATGTCGAATTGTTGTAACAGCGAAGAGAAACTAAGCGTCTGGTAACGAGAATAACAATGTCGGTTTTTGCGAGACATATCGATGAAATTCTTCGCTACTTGATTCTTTATACTTGTTCATCTTTGATATAAATTTTGTTAGTTTTTTTACGTGATTATTTGTGAGTAATAAAGTGATAGATTAATTATGCGATTCTATATTGAATTATTTCATTACTATGCTTAGAGGTTATAAAATTCAATGGGTCCTTTGTTTAATGATAGACCTTTTTATAGAAGGAGATAAATCCTGCATATGTATAAAAACTATTGTATATATAATAATGGAAAATATGCAGTTTAAGATAAATATTCAAAAATTGAGTGTATTGGAAATATTCTCAAATAAACAGAATTTGTAATCTACAATGTAATATAACCTATAAAGTTCTTGTCTGTTATATGTTAATTAAGACTTTTATATAAAAGATTATATTTTTATAATTAAAAAAATCATTTCAACCATAAAAATTCAAAGATTGCAAGATTCAAACGAATCTTTATTAAAAACAAAAACTTTTCGATCGTTAATTAACCACTGGTATAATAATGCCGCTATTCCGATTTTTATCGATGGTTTTCTCCGGACGACAAAGTGATCCTTCTCCCTTTTGTTCGATTACTCTTGATAACAAGAATAAAAAAAGGAAAGATAGGAGCAAAGAAAGAAACGATTGACAAAACAAATTGCATCTTCGCGAGGATTTTTGCCTAAGGATTAATGGGAAGTTCGAGTCGCTTTGAAGCGTGGTATGCTCGAAACATCGAAGAGCAAGAATCTTCAATTATTAATAAATTGAGGCCAGTCGCGTTCCTGCCCTGTCTCCCGCGATATTTTTCCCTCCATCAGCGAGACACAAGTGCCCTCATAAATGTCCACGATGTAAATAAGTCGTTCATCGTGTCTGAGAAGAGAAAGAGTCTACGTTCCGCGGACTTTATTTCTTTAATCAGTTTTAATTTCGACGTTCGAACGGTTGGCCAGTCTTGTTTCTCGAAAGTCAACGTTTCAACAATGTCCTCCATCTAACTATCTTCGATTCGCGTTCGGTATAAGGTAAGGTTAGACTTACGATAGGATCAAATATATGTTAATAAAGAATATTAATATATATTCGTAGGAAACTTTTAGAACGTTAAATTCTAGAAATTCTAGAAATCAAAACAAATATAAATATTGGTACAAATATAAAAATTTCGATTGAAGTTTATTTATTAAATTATAAGCGATTGAAATTTATCATTAATTGGAACGAGATGAAAAAAATTGTTTTGTTTTCGTTATACCTGTATTTCGTTCTCACTTTATTTCATCTAAGACAAATTTAAATTATTTATAACTTAATAAATAAGACTTAACTTATACTTTTGTACATTTTATATTTGTTTTGGTTTTTGTAAAATCAATCCTCCAAAGTTATTTTATGAATATATTAATATTCTATATTCGTGGGAATTTAAAAGATCGGAAGTAATGAGACTAGTCGAAAGATGCGAAATAATAATACGTAAGACTGCAAATTTAAAATTTTTTTTTTTTTTTCTAATCTTTGAATTCGTATAATTTAATTTCAATGTACATTTCAATTTCAATTTTAATTATGGTATGAAAAAGTCTGGTAGTGCCAAACCAGAAAAGTAAAGAGCGTGGTTTTGTACAGAAATTCCTTTTTCAGCTAAAAACTGTTGCATTATATGCATAGCTATGCATCTGCACACATATCAGTAACATCGTTTTTTACTCTCCTGATTTAGCACCAACAGACTTTTTTTTTGATTCCATAATTAAAATTGAAATTGAAAGATAATCTGATCTTGATATTTAACAAAATGTGACAAGATAATTAAACATAATTCAAGCAGAACGATTTTTAAACTCTTTTAAATAATTAAATAACCGATGTAGATATCGTATCAAATTCTTCGAAGATTATTTTAAAGGATAAAAATAGAAAATTTTAATTATTTTGTATTTTTACTTTTATCTTATTACTTTTTTGCCACATCTTATATGATATCGCAAGTAAATTCGAATCCGATTGGATAGTTTCGAATCTTGTGTAAATAGTTTAGAAATCTGAGATATTCCAAGTTAGATAGATTAAAACTTGTAAATATTAAATTCACGAAATCTAGTGAAATTTAATATGAAAGATTTATTTCGTAGGATTCGATTACAAAAAATGATATTTTCTTATTAAGTACTCGCTATTAAGTACTTAATGCATTATAGAATAATTTCGAATTTTGAAATGAATATATTTATAGAATTCGAATATATGCAATGATTGTAAAAAGTGTATTTGCACATGCAGTAGACATTCTCTTATCCTGTTCCTTCTCATTTTTTAGTAAAGTGTTTCATTATCACGTTCCATTTCATTTTTATAATATCAAACTTAAAACAAAATTTAATTATGTGAAATTTAATATATTATATTTGCATTTAATTACAGCAATGTTTCGAATCCTGTTTTTTTTTTTTTTTTTTACTCACTTTTCCGGAATTATCTTTGTAAGCGAAATTACGGCGTAGTATATAAATGATATAATAAATACAGTATGTAAATATTTTTCATAGTTACGTATCAAGTATTTTTTTTTTTTTTGACACTTGAAATCTCATAAAAATAATAATCGAAAAATACTTGGATGTTGATGAACGAAAAGAAAGCATCGATATGAATTAAAATTAAAATTTCAAAATTAAAACTTGTCGACCATAAATTATGCCTCGACAGCAATATAGGTTAAAATTATCAAAAATAATTGTGAAATCGAAACGTCGAAAAATGGCACAGTTAAACAAACATTATCAACCGAATCAGGCAAATCTCGATCGAATAAATTTTTTTAATCGAATTTATCGCAAAAGTTTCGAATCTATCCACGCACACCGTTCGATCGGCCACACCACCACTACATCGGCCCATTTTATATTTTTGATCCCATCGTTGTTCAACCCGTTACAAAAAGTTACAGATCACTCACATGGTCGATGTTAATCTCTCCCTTGTACATGAACTCGACCAGCACTTTGATGTCTGAGAACTTGACGTCCCGCATTATGACAATGGGGTCCTTCTCCTCGTACTGGGACAAAATCGTGTCGAAGTACGTGCTGCACGCTGACAGAACCACCTGCGAAAAAACAAAAGCGAGAAGGGCGGCCGTTAATGAAGGGGCTAAACGATCCGTCGAGAACTTTTGACGCTTGCAAATCGACCATTAAACCGAGGCAAACCGGTTACAACAGCGTGGGGGACATGACCGACAAAACTCGTCCTTGACAAATATTCCTCGATGGGTACACTCGCTCGCACACACGTATATACACACACACACATATATATACATATATACGAGAAAATCAAGAACGTTGAAAATTGAGGACCCGACAGAGTTAATTCATAGGTGTGCGGATAAGGGCACGCGACGCTGTGTCGCTCTTCATTAATTACCCCGAAAACTGGCATGCCACACGTGAGCCGTTATAGAGCCGTTGTAGAGCCGTTATATGCGCGCACACACACACAACATACATACATACATACATACATACATGTTGAACGTATACACGAAGATCGTGGAGATGATCGAATTCTTAAGCGGTGCTTCCCGAACACCGCCGGATAAAATATGTATTTCCGCTTGGACGCCTGAGCCGGCTACTATGTGCAGATCTGTCATGAAAGTCAATGAAGCACTCGACGAACAGGCTACTCTCTCGTTCTCTGACCGCTGTGATTCTTTTTTTTTTTTTTTTTCTCTCTTCTCGTGCCTTGAAGCTTGTTACACACCTTCCTTAACTTGACGCTTTCGCAGTCGATACGGGGAGGAGAAAGAAGAAGAAAAAGATTTCACTGCTCTCGAGTTGCACACGTGCTTGGAATATCGTGGTGAGGGAAAGTAGGGTAGAATAGGGGAGGTTAGAAATAAAATCTGGTAACTTTGAAATTGATAAAATAAGATAATCTGTCCGTTGGATAAATTGTTTTTTTCTTGTGTTTCTTCCTTCTCCATATTGGAAGAATATTAAAAAAAAAAAAAAAAAAAAAAAAAAAAAAAAAAAAAGGGAAATTTTAAATAAACGTTTATTTCTGCCTTGTCCAGGTAAAAGTAATTTTGATCGTACTTCTAATATTATTTCCTAGCAGAGAGCAATGAAATTTACTAATTCAAAAGATTAGAAAGTGTGTTTACGGTAGAGACTTGAAACTTGATTTGTTGCAACACCTGTTGACTTTGCCGGTGTATTTGCTGCTAAGTAAAGTGCAGAATTTGCAGAAGGATGATTGTAGAGGAGAAAGTGATTGATAGGTTTATAAATCTCATTCTTAACGTTAAAAAATATTGTTTTGCAATTTTCTTGATGGGTTTGTAATATCCCGCCAAGTGTCAACCGATTTTCAACTCCTCTGCTTTTCCGAATCACTATCATCGACACATAACTCAACTATAATGCGAACGCGCGTATATTGCGTCGAAGCAACGTGACGAAAATAAATCGTATCGATCGACGTTAATTCTTAAACTCGATCTATCGAGAGACGAAAAACAAAAAAAAAAAAAAAAAAAAACAAAGAACGAGCGCCCGATCGGATGGATTCCCCCTCCCAATTGAGAATCGGATGGACATCTAAATCAATCCTAAATAGGCGAGGTAGAATCGAAGGGAAGCTGTATTAAATTAAATCGAGTCGATATGAAAGGGCCTTGAGGCTGAAACACGGTTTGTATTCAGGTCAGATCGGTTTATACACCAGTATAGAGAAAGACACCAGAGATTCTAAAATCGGCACGGAGATCGATCGTGTGTGCGAAACTGGGCTTAAAACTGTCCAAGAACGGCTTCGCACGCCCACGTGCATATTTAGCACCGTTAAACAACCGATATTCCTGTCAATCGTGATTTTATTTGCCGACACAAGTCATTTTATTAAACGATCCTCCGTCGATATCCATCTCCGGATATCGATCGTAATTTTTTCTCACAACCCTTTACCTTTGCGTATAATCCGGTTGTCGCGAAATATAGAGAAGATATAGATCTGGTAAACGATGCGCCTCATCCGAACGGAATTTATTTCCTCAGTTTCGATTTAAAATGATCGGGATTTCGCTCGGCGGAAACGTTCCCCTGCAACCGAGGCGCGCTTAAAGTTTAAAAGATATCGATATCCCTATTATGTAGAATATAAATTGTTCTCAATATCTGGGGAAAATTTATTACTTCGTTCTCGTTCATTATCTTGTTTGTTTGTCCGAGGCTAAACCGAGCGTGCACCGTTTCCAATTCAACCCTCGTAAATCAGCGTAGCTTAGCCCAGATTTGTCACCTATCATCATGGCAGAGATCAACACTCATCAAGTGTATTCAACACCTTCCTCGTGAACCACTCTGTTTTTTTAAGAGGGAAAATTATTATTATTTTTTTTGTTTTTTCTCTGTTCTGTATCTTCTATTTTTCTTTATCGATGCTCTCTCTCCTTCCTCTTTCTCTCAAAACGAACAAAATTATCACACGTGTAGACGCGATAAATCAGTTTAATAAGCTATACCGATTTATCGTTAAAGCGTTAGTTAAAAATGTATTTGAAGCGTTGAGCGTAAGAGTTTTAATCTATCTTTTTTTCGTTATTTTCCTTTCGAGAAAATTACAGAGAAAAATATTTACTTTTGCAAGTTTAAATGAAATTGAATTAAATTATTTAATTGTTATGAAAAATATCGGATATACGATTTGAAAATCGAACACATATTTATTCCAACTTTCTGAATAGTAATTTCTCTCTGCGAGAGAGCTGAATGCAGACGAGAAACATCTTCCATGACTCTCTTCTTGCAAAAAGGCGAAATCCGATTCTTATTATACTTCAAATTAGGCGCCACTGAGTTTGGAATCGTTCGAGAAACTATCGTAAGATGGAAGAACGTTTCTTGTATAGGTTAGGAAATCATTCGTTTCTATATATTTCACGTGCATTAATAAAATATTCATTGGCGAAGAAATATCTAGAAACAATGATAAATACAACGAATCTTTTTTTATAGAGGAAGAAATTATTTCAAATATGGAAGCCAGAATCTGTATTTTTACTCGATCGAATGGCGGTTTCTAATTGTCAACCGAACGGGACACGAGCGTGTATGATTTTTCCTACGAATTTGCATTTTATTTCACGAAACGTAAGCCCACCGTAAATCGTGTTCCCCTCTCTTTCTCTCTCTCTCTCTCTCTCCTTTTTCCCCCTCCCTCTTCAACTGTCTTTTTCTCTCATCTCGACTTTTTTTTTGTCGCTCGAGCGTGGTTTCTATCGACTCCCCCACAACACAAGAGCGTTCGCGTAATTCCTTGAAAATTATTCTGCGGAACGACAATAGAATTTTACATGCAAGTAAAAAAAAAAAAAAAAAAAAAAAAAAAGAGGCAACTGTGGAATACATACGTATTAATTCCGTACCGCGGTATTGTTACATTTGCAAAAAAACTCGTGTTTCGTTTTTCGTTCCGAATTATTTATTCCTTAACCCTTTAACCGGCCTACCCCGTAGTTTTTCGCGAATTTGTTCCCCTTTTGTGTTTTTTCATTGTTACGATTCCCTCCCCTCCCCCTTTTGTTTCGGTGAAACAAATGTTTACCGTCCAATAAGGTCCCGTATTATCGTGTTGTGTATCAAATTGTCCGATTTTTCAACAAACGTAACCGAAACGATTCAACCAATTGCAAACGTTGAATTTGATTGCCGGTTACAGAAAGAACGTCGGATATTGTGCTTTTCCCTGGAAATAATTGCTCAGTTAAAACGTTAATCGTTTCATGCATCAAACAATTTTCCGTCAAAAGGAGCCTCGAATATCCTCGTTTCGCTCTTTGAAAATTGTCATTTCAATATTGATCACATCGCACATGAAAATCGTTTTTAATTATAACGAGCATCAAATATCTTATTATTTTTGGGGGAGGAAAAAAAAAAAAAAGGTTTCGTATACGTTCTGACGTATACATCTGGTGAAAAGAGTTATCAAAAATCTGCACGATACTCGCGATATATAAACAATTCGTTATTTTCAGCAAAAGGATATCGATCGATTGCGAAAGAAAGTGGACACGAAACGAAAATATGATTAACAGTACATGGATGATTCAAATTGAAAAATGTTTATTCTTCTTAAATTAATTACTTTTCAAATTATAGGTTATATATATATATATATATATATATTTTAACCTAACATAATATAATCAAAAATAGTATATCTGGATTTTTCATTCCAATAGGATATTCATTTTATTATTTTCAAATATCGAATCGTACAGCCTAACGCGTTTCTCGAAAGTATACCAATAAAATTTCTTCGGAATCTTTGGCACGATGTAAACATGAGAAAAACGCGCCAATTTTGAAACACTCGAACGTATACCATATTATACGTGGCGGAAAAATAACACGCAATGGAAAGTAAATATTTGTTCATGTTAATCGTTTTATAAATCAATCCACCTATGCAAATCTCTTAGAAAATAATTGAATTCAAAAATCGATCCGATAAATTTGCATAACCAACATAAAGATCGAACGGAAGCACGCGTCGCGGCAAGTTGCGCTCCCGCTGGCAAAAAGGAAGAATAACGCGAGCACGTTTCGAAGAAGGAAGCGCGATGCATCGTGAAACATCTGGAAGCAGCTGTGTTTCTGGAAAGCGAATGGTAGTATCGCGATCGCGGAAGAATGGGTTTCCCATGGTGGAGGCCGAAGAACTCTCAAGTACGAAAGAGTGTCTGGCTCTCGGCCCCGCCCAGTCAATAGCCTGAATATTTAATGTTAGAAGTTCCGTATTGATTTTCGCGATTTTTACGTCTCCGCAAATAAGGCCGTAAAAGACCTTACGCCGCCTCGTGTCTGTTTCTTACACGTACCCACACAGCCACGCGCGCGCATGCACGTACGGAAGGACACTCGCGTCTCCACGCGTGTGTGTACATATACACACGTATATACACGCGTACACGGTCGAAACGGATCAAGTAGGGAGGAAGGAAGACGGGGGAGAGGAAAAGAAAGAGAATGAGCGAGCGAGCGAGCAAGAGAGAGAGAGAAAGACGCGCGTTACTTTTCAGTGCCAGCTATATAACGC